CATAGGGAAAATACCCCAAGAGTCAGCGAGAGCAGGGGTGGAAGATGACTCACAGGTGGATTACACGGTAACAGACATTGGAAAGGACACGACTATGACTTGGACCGGTGACTCAGTGAAGGATAGGGGCACGGACCTATCCACCAGTGCTAGAATTAGCAGCACTCAGGGCAAGGTGAGCGCATCTGTAGAGGGCAAAAGTAGCATAGTTGAGAACAAGATGCTTCAGGTTTGTCCTTGCGGCTGGCAGAAAGTAACATCAGTGAAAGGCCTCAGAACTCATCAGGGAAAGAAGAAGTGTGTGGCAAAGAAAGGGCAGAGTAGCCGCATTGATCAGTACTTCCTAAGAAGTCAGTCGAGTCAGTCGGATGAAGTCCAGCGGCAGGTAGAAAACCACAGTTCGCAGGATATCAGTAACGCTGCCACTGAGGAGGAGGGGGTAGTAAGAGAGGATGCAGGTGACACTGAGGCCAGTATGCTAGCCAGAGAAAGAACTATGGAGCAAAAGGTTAGAGTTAGATGGCCTAGAGCAAATGACAGTAAAGAATGGGAGATAGTTAATAGAGACTTGTCAGTAATCTTGAGTAGGCTTAGAGGAAATGCAATACAAAGGTTAGAAAAGATGGGAGATATAATGTATTCATATGGTGTAGAGAGGTTTGGGGTGCATGAGAGAAAGAGGAGTGAGAGGGTACAGTCAGGTAAGTCTAGGCGGCAGAGAGAAATAGAGAAGTTAGTCAAGGAAAGGAGACAGTTAAGAAAGCAGTGGAAAAAGGCTACAGAAGAAGAAAGGGAGGGAATTAAGGTGTTGCAAGAGGAGTTGAGAAGCAGGCTAGCAGTTCTTAGAAGGGCGGAGCATCTCAGGAAAAAGAGGAGGAAGAAGGAATATGCTAGGACAGGTTTTTTCAGGGACCCTTTTAAGTTTGTTAAAGGATTGTTCAGCCAGGAAAAGGGAGGGCAGCTTAAAGCAGAAAGGTTAGAGGTTGAAGAATATTTGAGAAACACGTATTCAGATTTGGAGAAGAATAGGATAGTAGGTTTCCCACCTGATATCCCTCCATTAGGAGGGATAGAGCATGAGATGGATGTCAGGCCACCTAGGTGGAAGGAAGTTCAGGAGGTGGTCAGGCGTGCAAAGGCTTCTTCGGCCCCAGGGCCTAATGGAGTCCCCTACCGGGTTTATAAAAGTGCGCCTGATACCCTTAAATTTTTGTGGAAACAGCTAAGAATAGTTTGGGAAAAACAAATTATACCAAGAGCATGGCGTAGGGCAGGGGGTGTCCTCATTCCTAAGGAGAAGGAGTCTGTGGACCTTAGCCAGTTCCGGATGATTTCTCTCTTGAATGTGGAGGGGAAGATTTTCTTTAGTGTAGTAGCGCAGAGACTAGCTAGCTACTTAGAAAGGAATAGCTTAATAGATACCATGGTGCAGAAGGCAGGAATACCAGGTTTTTCAGGGTGTTTAGAGCATACTAGCATGATCTGGCACCAGATTCAGGCAGCGAAGATTAACAAAAGGGACCTACATGTAATATTTTTAGATCTTGCAAATGCGTTTGGTTCAGTACCGCACAGCCTCATTTGGAGTGCGTTTGACTACTTCAGAGTGCCACAGGTAGTTGTTAACTTAGTGAAAGCATATTTTCAGGATATTAGGTTGTGTCTAAGTACAGCAGGTTTCACAACAGGTTGGCAGAGGCTAGAAATAGGCATCATGGCAGGGTGTACAATTTCTCCATTAGCATTTACTATGGCAATGGAAGTAATCATCAGGGCTTCTAAGTGGGTGGTAGGTGGGGAGAGACGGCAGAATGGGTTGCATCTTCCACCAGTTAGGGCTTACATGGATGACATGACACTGGTGACCACAACAATGCCATGTACAAAGAGGCTACTAGAGAAGGTAAATAAGAACCTCAAGTGGGCCAGCATGAAAATCAAGCCTAGTAAATCTAGAAGCATCTCGATATGTAGAGGGAAGTTAAGTGATAGGAAGTTTGTCATAGATGATGAGGACATCCCAACAATTAGGGAAAAGTCAGTAAAGAGCTTAGGTAGGTGGTACAATGTAGAGTTGAATGATAAGGAACAGGTGGTGAAATTTAGAAAAGATGTGGCTGAAGGATTGGATAGAATAGATAAATCAGAACTTCCAGGAAAGTTGAAGTTGTGGTGTTTGCAATTTGGGCTATATCCTAGGTTAATGTGGCCATTGTCAGTTTATGAAATTCCAATATCTGTTGTGGAGAGAATGGAAAGGTCGGTTAGCTCCTACATTAGGAAGTGGTTGGGCGCTCCTAGGTGCCTAAGTAGTGTTGCATTGTATGGAAAAGGGATACTTCAGCTGCCAGTATCTAGTTTAACAGAGGAATTTAAATGTACCAAGGTCAGGACAGAGCTCTTGTTATCTGGGAGTAAGGACGTGGTAGTTAGGAGTGTGGTTCCAAATCCAACCAAGGGGAGGAAGTGGAACCCAAGATCGGCAGTTCAGGAGGCAGAGGCAGCTCTTAGACATGCAGAGATTGTAGGTAATGTTCAGTTTGGCCGGGGAGGCCTGGGGCTTGGCTCAGGTAAACCGGTATGGAATACAGCAGGCCTCAAAGATAAAAGAAAGCTGGTTGTAGAACAGATACGCAGACAGGAAGAGATAGTAAGGGGTGCAAAGGTAGTGGCCCAGGCTAAACAGGGACAGTGGTTGAATTGGGAAAGTGTAGAGAAGAGGAAGCTTAGTTGGAGGGACCTGTGGAGTATGGAGGAGAATCGTATTAGATTCCTGGTAGGGGCTACATACGATGTGTTACCAACCCCCCAGAACCTAAAACTGTGGGTAAATGAGGACCCATCATGCCCATTGTGTTCACGTACCGCAACTTTAAAGCATATTTTGTCAGGCTGTAAAGTTAGCTTGTCACAAGGCCGATATACATGGCGACATAATCAGGTGTTGAAATGTTTAGCTGCAGGCATCGAAGGGAAACGAAGACAGGTGAATTCAGAAGGTGTTAAGGATAGGGGCTTAGTAATTCAGTTTGTCCGTGAGGGAGAGAAATACAGAAGGGATAAGTTAGTGAGGAGGCAAGGGTGTGGCCGCCTAGAAGGTGCTTGTGATTGGGAAATGCAAGTAGATTTAGGGGGAAAGCTTGTTGTTCCTCAGGAAATAGTCTGTACCAGGCAGAGGCCTGACTTAGTGTTGTGGTCAGTGAGTCAACAGATAGTTTATTTCATTGAGCTGACAGTTCCTTGGGAAGACTCAGTGGAAGAAGCCTATGAAAGAAAAAAGCTTAGATATGCAGACTTAGGAGCAGAAGCTGAGCAGCGAGGATGGAAGACTAGGATTTGTCCAGTGGAAGTGGGGTGTAGGGGATTCATAGCAAGATCAACTGTCTCACTCCTGGGGGAACTCGGAGTGCGGGGACAGAATTTGAGGAAGACAGTGAGGGAAATGTCAGATGAAGCAATTAAATGCAGCCAGTTTATCTATTACAGAAGAAATAATGTCAGCTGGGGGCCAGCAGGGGGAACTACTAAGCAGGGCACATAACTCCTTGAGATCAGGTGGAGAGATCCACTTCCTGTCAGGAGAAATCCAGGAAGAGGAAGTATTTAAGTGTGGGAGTGGCCTATTGGAATCCATTTTGTTTGAGGCCATGCGGCAAGGTGAGTGTGCTTGCTGATCCTGTAAGTCCAGTTAGCTCCTTTAACTTTAGCTTATATTGTAGTTATGCTATGTAGTGTGTGAAATAGAGTATGGTGAATGTGACAGGAAAGCTAGTATCAGCATTGCTTCTGCCTGGAGCTCGCATGTATGGAGCCTGGGTTTGGTTGAAGATGGCAGTGCTGTTTGGGCTGAGAAAGCCATGTGTAAGTAAGAAGGAAATCCAGGAAGAGGAAGGTTATTTAAGTGTGGGAGTGGCCTATTTGAATCCATTTTGTTTGAGACCATGCTGCAAAGTGAGTGTGTTTGCTGATCCTGTGAGTTCATTTATCTCCTTTAACTTTAGCTTACATTGTAGTTATGCTATGTAGCGTGTGAAATAGAGTATGGTGAATGTGCTAGTAAAGGTAGTATCAGCATTGCTTCTGCCTGGAGCTCGCATAAACGGAGCCTGGGCTTGGTTGAAGTTGGCAGTGCTGTTTGGGCTGAGATCACTGTCCAGCCTCCTGGAGGTGTCATTGTTGTGAGGGCTCGTCCTGGGGAGGTAGACTGTACAGCCTAACCCGGCGGGGGAGTGTGATAGCCTAACAAGGCTTCCTTCCCTGGGTCTACCTCCTCTGTGGTAGTATAGGTAAGGTAAAGGAGGTTGTTCGGTTAGTGTGGGGAGCAGTGAGACCTGGCATTAGGGGAGTGTCTCTGGGACGCCAGAGATCACTGTCTAGCCTCCTGGAGGTGTCGTGGGACTAACTAGACGAAACACCGGTGAAAGGAGGTTCCCACCCGATGACCCCAAAGACATGTTAGTTATCACTGCTCACGGGTCTGTATAGTTAAGCCTTGCCATAATAGCTTATCGTAGGGCTTAGGAGGATTATTCACTGAGCGCTGATCCCTTTTTTTTTTTTTTTATTAGAGCACAAACTTCTTGTGTTTATTTGAATTGAATGAGACCTGATAATTGTCTAGTTTTGTTTATTTGTAGTTTAGGTGGGAGTGTTTGTGTTTGTGTTACCCCTTTTATTTCAATAATGGTCTGATAATCCATTATATATAATCCCCATTGTGCTCAGTTTGTGAGGTCTAATTAATGTAAAATGAGATTTATTTTCGTGATGACATTCTGTTCATTATTTAGCACCTACATAATTTAATGTCAGCTACATATTGTTTACATATTTTATTTACATGTATACATATTTTTGCTCTTTACATTAAATTTGGAACTACTTAATATCGCCCACTGTACGTGCAGGTAATGGGAGTTTGGAATAAGTTTGGCAGAGTGATATACAAGATGTGAGATGCTACTATTTTTGTCGATGTTCAGTTGTCCTACATTTTTTTCAGACATTAAAGTGGATCAAGTTACCCAGAGCAGCTGCCCCAAGCTCTTACTTCACCCACAGCCCTTCAGTATCCAGTAAGTTCATAGGTAAGACAGGAGAGAGAGTTTTAGTTTAAGGGTAATCTGAGTTAAGTTTTGTTCTGTTTACCTCTTTTTTGGGCCCAAAACATTATTATAAATTTTGTATAATTGTTTGCTTCATTTTTCGGAATATAAAACCCTCCTTTTGAAAATCGGTCTGTGACTTCTCAGCCATCTCAGTCCCTCACAGGATGGAAGGAAATCATTTTGTTTTTAGATATCTGTCTATTAGATTTCTGCAACACAGTAGAGGTAAATAACTTTTGCTTGTGGTGCTCATAGAATTGAAAAATTAGGTTATAAAAACCAAAATTAACAGCAACAACTTTCTCCAGAAGGAAAGTCCCACAAAAATAAACCTCAAAACTTGAAGTGTACAGTTTTTATCAGAACAACGTTCTAATTAAAGCTGATCAAATTACTACATGGAATATAAAAGGGGTCATTTATAATGGCAGACACTCTGATTTATCATTTAGCAAACAACATTTTAGCATCTTTCAGCTCATTGTTGTAACTGTAATATGCCAATGGTGAAACACACCAATGTAAATTCATATATTGATGTAAAACCACATATTGCAATATATTTTCTAAATAAAATACACATGCATACCTGTTTAAGAGGAAGAGAGCCAATTCAGGGTTGGTTCTAAATCCTTTAAAATCCTGCAGTTCTCTCCATGTGACGAATGACTGACTGAAGTTGACCCATGTTTTGGCCCGTGCTCCAGCACTATCCCTTTAGTTTTTCTTGGTTCTTTGGTCAATTTGTTTCCTCTCCTATTTACTGATCCTGCCCCAGTATCAGCCAAAACCACATCAAAACTAAAACTCTCTAAAGAAAAATTTCCTATTGCTTTCTTTTATCTGGCTAACGTACCATTCACTGCCAGACTTTGCATGGGAAAATTTAAACGTAGGCTCTTCCATTCTGTGTGCTGTAAATCATTCTGTCTAATTTCGTAAGGAATTGGACCCGCGCACAGACATTAAGAACAACTAGAACTTGCCAATCCTCTCACTGATGGTCTTGCTTGCTTATGTAGGCATCAATATTAACGTGAGACTGTTCCATAGCCATTAAAAAATACTTAGCTGCTTTAAGAAATGTGAGAACTTACAGAGACAAAAAGAAAGGCACCAGAGGTAAAGATATCAGATAGGCTCCTGAATTTGCTATTAAGTTTTGAAATCAGTGTGGTGTCCCGTGCTTCGTGTTGCTAAGTAGCTACAGTTTGTGTGTAGTCGGTGCATCTCTGTGGTGTGTAAATCTGAACTGCAAGAACAATCCAGCAGTTAAATCCAAATAAAATTCGGTGAAATTGTCCGTCGATAGTTGGTGGTTTCTTTATATGTCATGCTGTGGTTGCCCAAAGAGATCTACAGCTCTTGGTACTTTCTGTCAAGAACAAGTGAAAAGCTGTCATAATTTCGCTAATGCTAAGGCCCAATCCTAATAACCCCCCCCCCCCCCNAAATTGGGACACCACTCACTATGTCACCGCATAGGTTACATTCACGCATTCGTAACTATTTTAAACAGGAAGCTACTAACGTACCATTAGAGTAATAAGATATGTACGACAGGGGACTTCTGCTAGCTAGCTAGCTAACCAGTTAACATTACGAGGCAGCATCCTAGCTGGCGTGTTATCGTAATGTGAAAAATCCGACAATTTTGCAGAGCAGGACAGATGACAGATGCCAGATAGTGCGAGCTAGCTAGCTAACAAGCAACCTGACGACAGTAACGTTAGCTAACTGGCTAGCTTTCTGTCAACTCCAATCTAGACATTGTAAATAGTAATACGTTTTTTCCCCGTCTCTTGCTCGGTGGTAGCCATGGTGACGTCTACCCCTCACTGGCAAGTCAGCATCTGAAATCCCTCGCTCCGAAGAGCTAGTTTCATCCCCACTACCCCTCGTTATGCCCCCTACCCCTACACGCAAAAAGGAATTGGGACACCCCTACCCCTCGCGGGAAAGCGCAAATCTAGGGGTAGGGCTAAGGGGGGGTATTGGGACGTGCCTTTAATCACTCCTGTGTTGTGAATTAGACTCATGGTTGCACTTATGATTGAAATAAGACTGGAATAGTATCTCTGTACATTTCAGAACTGAAAACAACCTTTCACAACAAAGAGCGATTTGTGGATGAGAAGTTATCTGAAGGAAGGATGACTGTAGTGGGAATGGGATGGAGCAGGAGGGAAGGAAGTGATGGTGGTGAGGTATAGCAGAGCTTAAGGACGGAAAGTAGAAGGTGAGGGATGCAGAAGGAGGGTTTGACGGAAGGGAAAATGGCTTGGCTGTACCTTTGAAAAGACATAAACAAGAGAGGGAGTTAATATGTTGAAGGCATCTGAGACAAGGTGGTAAACAGACCACTTCCTGCCCCATTTTCAAAATAAAAAAGTAAAGGAGTGTTAGGTATATTTAGATAGTATCAGACATTTTTCTACTTTTTTATTCTCTATAATCTATTTGAAAAGCTTTATTATATACACATTTAATGATGCCAATGGGGTATACTGGCATTATAGAGACCACTGAGGGTGTCCTTTTCTTTACTATGTATCTTCTTCTACCCCAATAATCCCAGAATCCTTTTGCCAATGACTTTTATTTGGTTGATCCCCCTCACACTTCTCCTCTTGATCCATCTTTTCCATCTCTCTCTCTTGCCCTCCTCTCTGTCTGTTTTTTCCTCCTCATATTTCCTACCTCACCCCCTTCCCTTCCTCTCCTTACCAGTCACCCTCACCGCCTCCGCCTCCTCCCCCTCTCTCCAGCACCTGTGCCCCTGCGGAGGGGGAGTTCCGGGGAAGAGGAAACCCCCAGGGCAGCCAGGCACCTCACAGATGGTTAGCAAATTACACCTTCATTACCTCTCCTCTTCTTCTCTTCCTTCGGTCACTGCTTCACATTTACTTGCTGTTCCTGTGACACCTCACATCTGTCAGCAGCTGACCGCTCTGCTTGTAAAAGTTGCAGCTATTTAGGAAGTTCTGAATAATGAAACCACAGTGCTGCTTTTATCTAATGTTTGCAAGTTACTATTTTTATATGAACTAAAACTCAGTGTGGGCTAAAATATTTAATGTACAGCTATGCTACAGTAAAATCATAGATACAAAGACCCAGGTGGCATTATGTATGGTGCAGTTTGCAGTCATTAAAAGGGTATGTTTATACACTGCAAAAAATGTCCAGCCTGAAATGTAGTTTCAACATCTAATCTTGGCAGCTGCATTAAAGGTTTTTGTTTTTCTTAATTGTATTATTACTGCGCAGGGGCATTGTTTAGCTAATTCCAGTAAATTGAACTCACTCAGCACAGTAATGTGTCTTTAAAACCATATCAGAAACATGTAATTTAATTTTTTAGAAATTGCCTCAAGACATTTTTTTGTCTTTTATGTAACTTCCCTTAAAAACGTTACATTGTCCTTAAAAAGTTGTGTTTATTGAAACCAGAAAAATCTTGCAATCCATCTGACACAAGTGATTAAACTATAAAATATCCCGAGATTAGTTTCATGTCTAGATTTTTTTGTACTGCACAGCATTAACCACAGGGAAATGTTGAACTCGTGTTACGGTCTTCCAGGGAACAGTGGAAACAGAAATCATATTTAGTCAGGAGCAGTTTCAAGAAAGGCAACTCTTGTAGAATTTAATGTTACTAAATCACAGTCATTAATAAGTCATATTAGGTAATAATTTAAACAGTATCACTTTACAAACAGCAGGATGATTAACGGGTACAATGACCAGCTTTCAGCTTTCCTTTGGCTTACTTTGATGACTCCATTTCCAGAGAGATCTTTACACGTCGTCTCTGTTGGACTGGAAAGTGAACGTGTCAAAACGACTGGGGAGGTAATATTATAAAACAGTCTGATAGATGCTCACGGGAGCTATAACATGGAGCTCTAATCGTGATTCACTGGGGTCTGATATATGACACAACATCAGCCTGAGAAGTCTGTTTTTTGTTATTTCACAGAGTTCGAATTAAAGTTCCAAAGTTTTGTATGATTTTTGAAGAATTTCCAGATGAACTCTGTGTAACGTTATCCTGTACGAGGCTGTGTGGCGGACAAATATGCCAAACACAAAGGAGAAAGTTAATCATCAATGGACCAGTTTCTTCTGCAGCTTGAATAATGACCGCAGAATAGTGGTTATAATGCAATTAGGGCTTAACTACAGTAACTTGGTCCATGGCTATCTTGAAAAATCAACCTATGAAAATCTTGGGCACAAAATAACATAATAATCACAGAAAATATATTTGTGCTCATTTCCGAAAATGTTTTGTGGATCAGCATTTGTGTGGCTCTTCAAATCTCCTGCACTGAACAGCTCCTTTGTAAGGCCCAGACACTTGAAAACTGACATCTAAGAACCAGTGGCGAAGAAGGCCAACTGTTGTCGCCTCACGTGGCCTATGTCCTGCCAAAAAGTTGCACTTGAACACACCACAAAGACTACAGCCAATGGCAAACAAACATGTACATTCTGCATCTGCATGATGTTGAAAGAATCAGATGTTGAAAGAACAAATGACATTAACCGTGCACCAGCAAACATTAACATTTGCAATTATGAACTGTTTCTGCAAAGGGCTCAATGGCTAAAAACATAATCTTACCTAATAAAACAAGTTTATTTCGATCAGTCCCCCTTGATTTTAGTTGCTTGTTTACTTTCCTCACTTTCAGTTTCACTTCTCGAGCACTGAACTGAAAAGGTAATCAGAGTTATCTCTCTCACCAATGGGCACACAAGGGCCGACTAGTGCCAGCCTTGCAGGACACACTGCAAAAACTGGTATGACAGATGCTCACTGACGGCCTGTTGACTGTCGGCTTAGTGTTCTTGGGCAAAGATGAATAGTGGTTACATGAGGTTCAGAATCAGCCACAACTCAGCCCTGAGCAACAGTAACCATTCGCTATTGACCAATCAACAGACTGCAGTGGTCCCAGCTCCACCTTTTAGTACTGGATCTGTGTGCTAGGTACCCCAATAGAGGGGTGACCAAAAATGGGGACAGTACAGAAGCGTTCCATTGGTACCATCCACAACTTTTCACAGTGGAAACGGAAAAAAAGCGTACCAAACTGAAGTGTACCGTACCGTAATGATTGGTGGAAACAGGGCTTTACATTGTCACAGCATGAGCCACACAGCTGTGGCTAAAAATGAAGTGTGACAAATGTTAGTAGGCCTATGCTAACATGCTGAACTAAGATGGTGACCATTACATGAGCCATATGCTACCTGCTAAAAATATGCATGTTAGCATTGTCATTATGAGCATGTTAGCATGCGAACATAAGCATCTCACTCAGCACTACTGTGCCTGATGGCAGTCTCGGAGAGCCACTAGCATGTAGACTCTTAGTCTAGTTCAAAAACTATTATTCATAAATTACTTGGCTTACAGTTGAGCCTTTTGTGTGCCTATTTAAAATATGTATATGCTGTGTTTCAAATTATAAACCACGCTGAAAGTTTGTATCTTTTTTTTTAAAGATATTTTTTGGGGCATTTTGCCTTTAATAGACAGGACAGCCAAGTGTGAAAGAGGGAGAGAGAAAGGGGATGACATGCAGTAAAGGGCCACAAGCTGGACTTGAACCCAGGCCGCTGTGGCAGCAGCCTTGTACATGGGGCGCCTTCTCTATCCACTAAGCCACCGATGCCCTGAAAGTTTGCATCTTGAATGCTGCTTCCAGTGTCCTGATAAAGGAGGTCCCCAAAAAGGTCAAATGAAAACACTCAAATGTAGTGAAACACACAACTGTGATAGTTAAGTCAAGGATTCACCTTATTAAAGACAAAAAAAAGTGTTCTCTATCTACATAATATTGTCGCTATATTGTATATTAAAGTAGTCTATAATTCCCTCGTAGCGCCCTCAAGTTCTCCTAATTAAAAGTTTGTGGTTGTGGTTTCGGTCGCGAACAGTCTTTAGTTAACCAGCTGTTTATTAATTTGTAATGACCACTGACTGACTGACACACACCCTGTATCTTATTTCCATGCCTCTTTCAGCCCAGCGTGAAAGCAAGGGGCCCAGTGCACCCATTAGTCAAGCCGAGGAAGGCATGGAATAATAATGAACGCACCTCACACGCATGAGCAACTAAAACCCCCTCCACCACCGCCGCCGCTGCCACCGGTGAGTTTCCAGGAGGTATTTCCATCATGTAAAATGTATGTCCCTCTAACTGCAACAGATCTCTCCATCTTCCATCAGGGAGGGAGATTTCTCTGTTTCCGGTGCTGTGAAGTGGACCAACTGAAATAGCAGAAAGCAAAAAATCACTTCTTGCTTATTTCTGTCTCCCAAAGGTTGTTAAAGTTTCACCTTACATCTTGTAGCCATCATCTTTATCCATATTTGTCATCATCATCATTAATCCCCATGGTTACGTCACTGTAATCGTAGGCCAGCACTTGGTTTGCTCATCTGTCTATGAGCTGCTGAGTTTGAGGTGAAAGGTCTTTATAAGTCTAGTAAAAGCTTTCACGTTTGTCTAACATTAACTGTATGATTATGTAACCATATTATATACTTTACTGTTGTGCAAACAGTCTAATCAGACCAGTGTTGTAACTACAGGGAGAAACTGTGCTGCCTCCGGCCATAAAGTCTTTCCTCATGTCATGCTGTGCTCCATACTGCATCTGGCCTCTCCCAGTATTTAGTCTGCCTTCTTGGATACAGTATGAAAGACTCCACACTACTACTACCGCTATTATCATTATTATTATTGTTATTATCATAAAAAGATAATTAAAATAATGGCATTGCGAGGCAGCTGATGGATTGAGCAGCATGTTTAAGAGAGTGGAAATATGCAGGAAACAATTTCTTTACAGCTACACTCAGGGTGTTGGCAGATCTGTTTTGATGACGCAAAAAACAAATGGATGGAGAAAGAGTCAGAGAGGATATTAAATGGTAAATCCTAATTTCAAATTACATAGGAGGGGGTTTCCTAATACAATTTAACATGAACATGGACACTGGACATGACAGAGGTGAAAACTTAAGTTGGGTTGCTTTTGTAAAGTCTACCATTTCTTATGTAATGAATTCTAAAAAAAAATGCATTCAAACTCTTATACCATGGTAGCCTAAAGCCCAGTTCAGACCAGTGATTCGCTGCGAGCTGAAATTGTTTTAGAACATTGCAGAGAAAAGATGCAGTGTTGTGAACTGGCCGGTCTGAGCTCGACTCAAGCCAGCTGATGGCGTCACATGCAACTCAGGGCTAAAGTCAAAGAGGCTAAAGTCAAGAGGGAGTGAGACCAAAACAAACCTGTTACATAAGGTAAGATTATTTTTCTTTAGCGATGAGCTCTTTAGCTGAAACATTTGTGATGCTTTGTGTTCTTGTTCACTGGCACACTGTAAATACGCTTTGCTCCTTCAACATTGGATTGTGCTGTTAACATGCAAACTGGCTAACTAGGGTCAAGACAGTCTTTCAGTTTCCCTATTTGAATGACGAATATAGACTACCGTGTCTGCTGGTGTGGACAGTTATTTCCTCTCAAGCAAGCACAGAGCGTACATGCTGCTTGATCTTTGGTTGAGGTCTGTGCGGTGTATTCATGGGCAACTTTGTGGCCGAGACACGGCAACATGGGCCAATTCTCTGAAGTTGGTTTAGTGTGTCTGGAGAGGTTCATTTATTTGATTTCTCTGTGAACTGCAGCAGTGATGCAACTGGTTTAAATCTTATACAGCAACAATTCATGATGAAACAATACAACCATTAGCTCGGTATACCCAGGCGTAAAGGCATAGGTGTAGATTTTGGGGAGGAGCAGGGGACACATCCATAGATGATGTGTATTAATCCCCCCTCAATAAGAAACATGAAAGTACCAGAGGACTTTTATTTTGACATTTCAGACATTTACTCCATAAATTTATGCAGAAAAGGCACAAAATGGTGCATAAAAATTCACCAGAATGCATGAAAATAAGTGTTTGACACTCATAATTTTCTGGCGAAGGACCTTCAGACAGATGCAAACTTGAAACACGCTACAAGGTTTAATAAAATTGTGTTTAAAACTCGGAAAAACTTTTAAATGGTCTTAATTGTTGCTTTGCAAAATTAAATTATCTCGGTTTTGACCATGAGTTTTTAATGACTGACCCACCATCAGGGTCTGTGGGTTTAAGAGGTTAAAAGTCTTCCTCATCACCTGCATCATAACAGAAAGTTAGAGATGAAGATCTTAAAAGGAGAGAGCAGACACAAAGATGAGACAAAGCGACAATGCAGTGGCGGAGATGCTGTGGAACAAATGGAGAGGCAGACAGGGAGATGGAGATAAAGGAGGTAGAGCCCACAGCAGGCCAGAAGTCCTCCAATGCTACTGCAGTGGAGTGACAATGAGAGAGGAGAGAGTATGAGTCATACACAAACCCCTCCCCTCTCCTTCTCTATCTCGCTCCCTCTCTCCCTACCTTCCTCGCCCCCCACCAGCCCCCCCACCCCTCCTGCCTACAGTGCCGATGTAGCCGGGTTACGTCGACCCTGACTCATTCATTCACAGCCGAGTCTCAAGCCTACTTTTGTTATACAGATGAAATCATGCTACTTAAGAGACCATCACAGCTCTCATTATAGTGCTCTGACATACTTTACCGCTCTGGCTGCCGGAGCCCCATTCATAAAAATGCTCCAGTCTCTGACTATGTGCAGAGAAGGACACACACACACACACACACACATCTCCAATCCCTTATTTGGTTGTCTTGTATAGCTGAATGGGTTGTGGACGAGTGTGTGTTACTGCTAGGGTTTGGTGTTTAATCCCTGCTGGGGCCACCCACACTGTGTTCACCCATAGTACTGTAACACTTTGGATACATTCCTGTGAATGTGCTCTATCTCTCCTCCATCATATTTCCCTCTATGAAGATTCACCTCTATTTGGTTATTTCTCCCTCCTTACATTCCCTCCCCTCCAACATTTTTCCTCCTCTACCCTCCTCTTCATCCTCTCTCAGTGGAGCAGCATCTACCTCCATGTGGTTAGCTCATCTCCTTTTCTTCCTCTCCTTCTCTCTCTGGTTAGCTCATCTCATCTCTAGGCAGTCAGCTTTGCAGGCAGCTAATTATAGGCCACACTGTGGAGCGCAGGGCCGGATGTGACAGCATGCTGTGTTTGTGTGTGTATCTGTGCACTGTATGTATGTGTGCCTATGTGCGTTAAGCGCAGACATATATGTTGCTGTTGCTGTTTGTCTCCACATATGTCTTGCTGCATATGAGACGTGTGTGTGTATCTGTGTACATGTATAGTATGTGTTCACATGTTGTGTTCTTTCACATCTGATCTAGGACCACTTTGAGCTTTAGCTCCTCACAGTGGATATCTCACTGCTCCTTACTTTATACATTTTGGGACTGTAGTCCATTACTGAGGGTCCTCACAAGTATAACAATGCCAATGCGTGTGTGCATGCATGTGTGTGCATGTGTGTGGATGAGCCACCAGCAGGATATCCAATCCCAGCCCCTCCCACACTGTACTGCAGCTCTGACTCATACAAGGTGGAGGCAGAGACAACCAGGGTCTGATGACTGGCAATAAGTGTGCACATACACACACACTCATATATATGGTCTATATAGCAAAGTAAACAGGTGTGGAGATGACATAACATATATGCATACTACATGTAGCATGAACAGAGGTGAAATTACATAGTTACAAGTATTACATAATACTGCATTTATAGCTATAAAGAGAATTCTTGACAAAAATTCAGACACCTCAAAAACTCCTTTAAAAGGTCATTAGATAAACTTAAAAATGACCCATGGCCACAGAAAGTATTCATGTCTTATTGTCTGGCAGGTATATAAAATCATATCACCTCAAGCATTGTTCCAGTTAACAGTTTAAACACTGTTTGAAGTCAGTGCAAAGATATATATTAAATTGCAGGTAACCATGGGAACAGCACTTCGGAGTTGCACTAACATTACCATCAACTCTTCACTGGTGAAACAGACCTAACCATGAGCTAAACTGACTGTAATATCTGCTGTTTAGAACTCACATACAGCCAGATACCAGTTTGAGCTTTAAGTCCAGCACAATTACCTTGTGAGCTAAAGACATGTAAGATAAAGCATTACTACTATGTCAATTTACACATCCAACAGACAGAGCATTAGCCAGTCTAGTGTTCGCTCTCCTTTTAGCTTTGTCTTTGTCTCAACCAACTCCTGAGGGAAATATCTGCCTCTTTAGTTGCTAAACTTCACTGTGTTCGCTAACTTTGCTGTTTGGTCCTGGGCAGGTGATGTGCAATGAATTTATTGTAATTATTGCACCTGCTTCATCTGGAAATGATTTTGAAAGAGATTAAACCAAAACATTCAGGCAGTGGGCTGTAAAACCAAAACAATGAGCTAAAAGACATTAAAACACTCTGTTGTGGATAGCAACTGGTACCTGGCACTTTTTTCAGTGTCACCTTGGTTTAGGTTCAAAGTGAGCTAAGCTGAAACTAGAACTTGGAGTAATAACACTGAAGACCGCTGATTGATCAGAGAGAATCATCGAGAATCGTCACTTGCACTGCATTTACTCGACCCAGATTTTTAAAAATGGCAAAACTATGCCAAACAATACTGCTATGAATCAGCTGAGAATCCTGCCTACACTGATGGGGCACTATCCGTAATGGAAAACGAAATAGAGAATAAAACTTGGTACCAAAAGTGAGTTGAGTCGAGTCAAACCATGCAGTTAATGAGGCAGTGGTTAACTAAAATGACAACGTCATTTTAAAAAATTGATTAAGCACAATGTCTCTTTTTGTTTGTGTAAGTGGCCGTGGTATAAGTGTGATACTGCACAGTAAGAAGTGCTGATATAAAAAATATTATACAACAGTTAGTTCCGGCCCTGCAATCTGATTGGTCGAGAGATAGTAAAACTGTGTTTATATTGGAGTTCAACATCACTGTTATTTCACTGTGTATGTATCACTCTGCCTCACAGCTGATTGCAATCAACAATCAAATCAAAACTGACGGTTAGTGTCAGTTAGGTCGACAGTTACGTTGTAGGCTAATTAATTCATCCACTGTCAAACAGCCAAAAATATGGATTTATTTCCTATAATAAGTTTTGAATTGAACTATGAATGGTCATCAGAGGAAGATGAGGGAGAGGAGAAGCTGAATCCATCTGAGCACACATCCAGGTTTGTCAGTGTTTCATCAGCGGAGCTCAATGACTTGGAGAAAAGCAACATACTGTCAGATCAGAAGGCAGAGTCGGCTGTGCCTGTGCAGCGACAGTCCACCATGCAGTCACCAGAGACTTATTTCACCGGCTGCACAATTAATGGAAATGTGCAGATAAATGTGTATAAAGAGTAAGTGCCTGTCGCTCCATGTTTGCGTTACATAGCAACGGTGACAGCGGAGTCCTGAGGGAACTATTTTTGTTGGCGGAAGACAAATAAAATACTTAAATTATCTATTTTGTCCTCATTTTTCAACATTTCTTAATCAGCCTTGCTTATTTAACTGTTGAACTGTTGTATAAAAGCAATATCACACTCGAGCTCGTGATGTTATACTCGTATATCGTCATGGC